TATATATATATATATATATATATATATATATATATACATATATGTTAATCACACATACTTTCCTTTCCATTGATATTACATTTCCCAAGGGGTTAATGAATTTAGTCAATGCAAATCTACCTAGAATGTAAATGCTATGCCTTTTTATAAAAGAGCGAATTTCTCTCCATCATATTCTATTTATCACCACCCTTCTTCTTTATCATATTTCCCTTACTTCCATGCACAAAACCGTCTTGCACTTGCAGAAAAAAATAAATCTAAATACAGTTACTTATGATTCATATTATTAGAAATACTATTGTTTTAGAAATGAAACGGTTTGTTCTGTCAATTCGATTTTGGTTACTTTAACACTGCTATATTAAAGGAAAACTTAAAGAAATTTCATGAAAAAGAATCGTAAATTTCAAAATCATTAATTTTTGGTAAAACATGAGTATGAATTAATGTCTCTTTAACAAAATAGTTGAATAATGATGAGAGTATTAGTAATGGTGATGTTAACAATAACAATGGTAAAAATATTGTATCGTTATAACAAACAATGGTAATGATGATAAATATTATATTTTTATTACTTCTTTTAATAATAAACATTATATCATTATGTTTTTTTTTCCATTCTTGTTATTATCATCAGTATTCATCACCATTACCGTTACCATTGTCATTATTATTATACCGTCCTTATTATTATCACTGTTATCATTACCGTCGTTATTATCATTATCATCAAAATCACTATTACGATTTTCATCATCATTATTATGTAATCAATGACACTTACAGGCTTCACCATCACCATCATTATTATCATAATTCTTATCCTCCTCTTCATTATCATTATCATCACTATTATTTACAAGATTAGCTTCATTATCACTATTCCTGTTTTTATTTCCCATCTTTCTTCGTTTCCTTCTTCTCTCATTTTCTTTTCTCTTATTCGTACTCTCCCAAGCTTAGTAGTCTGTGTTAAAAGAAAGGAAAATTTCAGATAATTGAGGAATGTAGAAAATTTAATGGCACTACATATAGATTTTTAAAAAAACAAAAACTTAAGAGTATATAAAATAATGAATCACAAATCAAAAAGACCTTATTAAACGTAAGAGTAAACTCATTCAGAATCAACATATACAAAATAATACAGGTATATGACTATGATATTCATGGTAACATTACTGTAATTGTTACTAATATTGGTACAGTAACAATAACAATAATATTATCGCAAATAATATAATAACAATACTGATAAATAAAGTCTTAAAACTTATCAGAATATTATTGATAACATTAATACTGATCATAACAGTGATAGAAATAATAATAATAATAATAATAATAATAATAATAATAATAATAATAATGATAATTATAGTAATAATAACAGCAATAGTAATAAAATGATAATAATTGTAATAATAACAACAGTAATAGTAATATCATTAATGATAATAATAACAATAATGATAATAAATTATAATAATAATAATAAAATCATAATAATAGTAATAAAATCATAATAATAATTTGAAAAAAATAATAATAATAATAATAATAATGATAATAATAATAACAAAGAAAACAATAATAATGATGAAACCTGATTGAAAATGTTGATCACCAAATCAATGAAAAAAATGCAATGATTCTAACAGCAAAGATAACAGAAAATATCATTTAACATAATAAATATATACTAGCATTCTAAATCACAGTACAGGATATATTAACTCATACTGACTAAAATAGTATTTGTAAACAGCAATAAATTATCTTTTTAATAACATGCATCCTCCACACAAATTAACTGTGAGTTTATACATCATTAAAAAATCTTTTATGATATTTTTGGTACTTCTGTTCCAAAAAATGCATTGCTTCAAAAAAAAGAAAAAATGTTGATATAGTTTTTATTCCTACTATAGGTATATTTGGCAAGAGATTTTCTACTTTTCTTAACCTCGAAAATGTTTGTTGAAGAAAAATATGTCCTTTTTCTTTATTTTATTTTATTTTTATTTACCTTTTAAGGCAAGCACCTGAGAGTATCTATTATATGTGCGTGTATATATTTGCGCGCAAGTGTGTGTGTGTGTGTGTGTGTGTGTGTGTGTGTGTGTGTGTGTGTGTGTGTGTGTGTGTGTGTGTGTGTGTGTGTGTGTGTGTGTGTGTGTGTGTGTGTTTGTGCGTGTGTGAGTGTGTGTGATCTACCCTGAAACGCAGACAGTCTTCAAATGAAGAAAAAATGCCCCAGAATGTGTGCATCTCGCTAATATACTGTAAACACACAGAAATACACCTTAGGATATTACTCATTTACGTGCATAGTTCATTCAGACAGTAACGTACACATGACCTCGCTACCTTATGCATACACAGTATACATTTCCACCGCAATCATTACGACGCATATGTTTCCAAAAATATATATACACATCTGTCCCTAAAGCAAAGTGTACCGAACCTCCAGTACATTTCACCGAGCGCGTACACAAGGTAAATAAATAGATGAAAATCAAATAAATAAATGAATAAATAAATTTTTAAAAAACCGTATCAATGCACAGGATCCGTTGCCTACCGCCACTATCCGCACACCTGTTATTCGTACTATCTTGAAGGTTGATGAAGTTAAAGAGATATTTGGAAACCTTTCTTTCTTCTTCAGTCTGTTCTGTTAATTAGTTCATTATCATCCCAGGTTATATTTAACCTCCTAAGATAATAAAAGAAATGGATTAAGAAAATACGATAAAATACAAACTAATTTGTGACGCAGATGTGAAAAAAAAAATGTTTTCATCTTTGGCAACAGATACAGGGGACGCTTCTCGTTTGTTTGTTTGTTTGTTTTTTCAACTCATAAAAAAATTAAAACTAAAGAACTGACGGAATAAAATACATATTTACACAGTGGAATTTATAGTCACAAGTTATGCTAGGAGTGACTGAGAGTATAAGGCAGTGGATTTCGGCTCCAGGAAAAAAAAAAAGCTTTACGAAAATTGTCGAAAAAAACCGCAGTGATAAAGAGACCAAGTCCTTCTAAAAGACTAGAAAAATTATTTGACTTTTTTTAAATATAAAACGTTTCCGGAGAACATTATCATTTGTTTCATAGTCTGTACTTGATTTTTTGATGATGGTAATTCAGCGGATAGTTTAGTTTACAGGTAAGCTTTCATGCACTATAACTGTGATACCAATAATTATAATGATTATGATAATAATATCAACTATGGCGATAATGATTATGATAATAACATCAATATTGACGATAATGATGATGACAATAATAATTATGATAATGATAATAATAATAATAATAATGATAATAATAATAATGATAATAATAATAATAATAATAATAATAATAATAATAATAGCAATAATAATATTATTATTGTTATTTATAATAATGGCAAAAAACAGTAACAGTAAAACAATATTAATAATAATGATGATAACTATAATAATGACAAAAACGATAATAATAGAAAGGACAGCAATAATAACAAACGCAACAACAATAACAAGAGTAACAGTCATGAGAATACTGATACTTCATATTACTAAGAGAGTTTCATCAAATTGTCAATTAATTAATCTGTCTTTATTTTCATTCATACCTACCGTGGAACTACCGCGAAAAATTCATTCTCCAAATTTAGGCAATAAAAAAATTAAGATAATGATGATGTTTAAGTTAATTATTATAGGCCAGATAGGGAACCATATGCGTCACATCACCATGTTAATGACCTAATTAAGTCTTCATTATAATTGTTGTTTACGCCTTTGAAAAAATAATAATAACATTAAGATAGAGAATAAATAAAATCAACTTCCATTCTTTCTTCTTCATTTTCCTTTTTTTGCATTAGAGTAAATATATATATATATATATATATATATATATATATATATAAAAAGACGAAGAAAAAAAACATATATAAAAAAAATGAAAATAAAACCTTATCGACACTGTCTAAAATCCGCAGGACAGGGCTGGTCCTTTACCAAAATAAGCTTACGATAACCTGCTTCCCTGAGATTCACGTTCAGCTGAATGATATCTTTAGTTACTTTAAGAAGCGTTTTTATTCTCATTTCTTTTCTTTTCTTTTCTTTATTCCTTTTTTGAGGTCCGCAACTGAGGATATTTTGTGCCTTTGTGCCTCCCCACCCCCCCGCCTGCCTCGTAATGTTAAATATAGTGATGATAGTGATATTGGTAATGCCAGGGATGAACGATAAGAATATTGATAATGATAGTAATAATAACAAGGTGATAATAGCGATGGAAGTAAAAATCATTATTAATAGTAATATCATTTCTACTGCCATTACCATTATCATAATGATTATCGTTATTACCGTTATTATTAAGATAGTTATCATTATTATCATTAATATTATCTTTATCATTATCACTATTATTATCATTATGATTATCATTATTATTATCATTATCATTATCACTATTTTTTATCATTATTATTATCATAATTATTATTATAATTATCCTCATTATCATTATCATTATTATCATCATTATTATTATTATTATTATTACTATTATTATTATTATTATTATTATTATTATCATTATTGTTATTATTATTATTATTATTATTATTATTATTATTATTATTATTATTGTTACCATCATTTTTAACTTAACCAATATTATCACCATTATCACTATCACTATCATTATCATTATTATCACCATCATCACCATTATCATAAATATACTGAAAGTGATAATTTGTCCACCTTTACATCCCTATTTCATGTACCTATTAATTAATTAATTTTGCGGAAATATGTAAAACTGGTGGCCAATTACAGTAATAAGTTGCTTTCTCTTTTTGCTTCTCTCAGTTAAGACCACATGGCATTTCAAGAACAAATCTCTAATTGATTTAAGATACGTCAAAGTTTTTCGTTACATTTAACTTTTTCATTTTTCATCGTTAAGTAGATTAATGTATCTTTTTTGCGTTTAGAAACATTTCACGTCCGTTTTCTGTGCATAAACGTTTATCTCGGCTCTCGATTTTCAGTTTAATTCAGACACCAGAAAAAAAATACTGAAAATTAATAAGAAAAAACAAAACAAAAACAAAATGAAACACTTATCCATTCTAATAAAAATGAAAGAAAAAAAAAATGTCTATATACTTATATATGCGTGTATGTGTGTGTGATACTAATAATGATAAGAATGAACAGAAATAACTAGGATTTGAAAAAGGGAATTGTGACTATGTTCATCTCACTGTAGAAAATGAAGAGGGACACCATAGTTCCGGTGTAAGGAGTGTACAGTGCCAACAATACGGCACAATCAGAGCAAAAATTGATACGGAGAATTCCTTCAAATATACATATATACCGTATATATAACGTATGTACACACCAGTGGGTCAGTTGTAATTGCATCTGTTGGTAGCCCCGTAAGTCAAGTTTTGGATGTCTAAGAGACCTAAGTTCTTGTTATCATCGTATCTTTGAACAGCAAATAAATAAGCTGTTTTCTTTGTTATATATCTTTCTTGCATTTTTTTTCTATCATTTTATCTCCCATATTTTCGTCGAGCATAATCCTGAAATAGGTTAGGATTATGTCGAATGCTTGAGTCTCCCGCAGGTTTCGCAAAGGGGGGGAGAACTGAGGAATTGGGGGATATTATTGCACCTTCATATATCATGATTATCTTGCTAACTGTGCCTTTATATCCCTTGCCTTCCGTAAATTGATCAGCTATTTTTATGCGTCTGTTTTTTTTTTTTTTTTTTTGGCTCCAATAATACTGTGAATCGTTCTTGCTGGGTTTGTTTGTTTTTTAATTCCCGGTTTTTTGTATTTCTAAACCTGAAATACTACCAATTTCTCCCCTACATTTTTTTTTCTCTCTTGTATAATCTTCATTTCTCCCTAAAATCTGCCTCGCCGCTCTTATTTCCCCTCAAAAACTAACCCATTTATGTCCCCAAGATTTCCTCTTTTCCCCCACTTCGCCCACCAACGGGTACTCTGGGATGCCTAGTCACAGGTACAGATTCAATTATTTAAAACTTGTTAATGCTTATTTCATTGCGCTTTGTTCTCTTAGTTGTTCTTCTTTAATTATTTATTTATCTTCTCCCTAAAATTTCCTGTCCTATCAGGTAACAATTGGCACAAAAACAAATTGCCGCGAACTGGCAACTCACACCATCGACGTGTCAGAGTATAGATAAGAACACATTGTACTACATGATTAAAAACGCAAGGGTTCTGTGCTCACATACTAGAATGCCAACACAAACCACTTTCTATGCTTGATTGTACGCGTTTCTAGTAAATAGAATAAGATATAAATATAGTTATAATTACATTGGTTCCTGTTCAACAATCTACATGTAAGGAAAACGAACTCCCGCCAAAGGGATGTTCTCCTCGTCAAAGAAAAATAGTAATAATAAAATAAAGTAAAAACGCAACACTGACCTGTTTTTAATATGTATATATATATATATTATTTTTGGTGTAATATCTATAACAGTATATTAAATTCTCCGAAGAGCACCATGGTTAAAACACTTTTTTAACGGGAATAAAAACCCCAAAAGTTTTATACTTGTTTCCTCATTTTGCATTCACTTGGGGAGGGAGGGGGGGAGGAGAGACAATAGAGAGACAAAGAAAAAGAAAACCGAATTTACGACGAAAGCAAATGAAGATCATAAATACATGATCCAGACACTTCAGCACTTAAACATTGGTTGTAAATTCTTCGTTTTACTTATATCTATACACTTTAGCACTTTTTAATTTTGCTATCTTACACTATTTTCTTTTTTTTCTTGCTCGTTTCAGTTATATGTCTTCAGAGGGGGAACCACTTGTCATATCTCGCTAAATTACAAGGCATACGTATATATAATTATATTATCACTATTTTCATTGTTTTTTTTTTCATTTGTATTACTATTTACTTCCGATTTATCTTCTATTTTACTTCCCTTTCTGATATTCCTCCATCCTTCTCTCTCTTTCGTTTCACATACTATTTCTCTCTTCTCTTTGCATTTCCAACATTGTTCATTTTTCCTTCTCCACCAATAAATCAATCGCTTCGTATTCTCTCTCTCTGTCTCTCTCTCTCTCTTCCCTCTTCTTTACCTTTTACAATATGTTCTCTTCTTTCTCCGTCTTCCTCCATCTCACTCCTTCTCTTCCCCTCCTTCCCGCCCTTTCTATGTTCTCCCTCACTACGCCATCGCCACCAAAATCTCTGCTTTTATCCTTCCTTCTCTTTCCTTCTCCATCGATTCTTCTCCTTCCTCCTCCTTCCTTCCTTCCTTCTCTCTCCCTAATTTCTCTTGGAGGCGAATTCCCTGAGGATGTCTCTGGCCATCACGATGTCGTTCCTCGTGATGACCAGAGCGCGGATGACGGCGTCCTGCGCGAAGCCCTCCTGCGTTAGCGTCGCCAGG